TCCCTTGTGACCTACCCCGCCCCCTAGTTTTGTCGAACCACACCCATCTTTGGTATCTCTTGTTACAAATTAGTGTTGGTGGGGGTCCGGACTGTGGTGTTTCTGGAATCACATGTATACAGAAAGTTTAACTCTATTCCAGATTTTATTTCCAGATTTTCAGATTTCCATTTGTACAGGTTCCTATCTGATGGTTTAGCTGTACTTTAGGTGTGATATATGTGTTATTTCTGTGGCAGTTTTGTCTGAAGGAACACACTCTGTGTGGAATAGTGGATATCTGCTCATCATTTAAGTCAATCTGATATATTGTATGAACCAATCCTGTTCAAGGCATTTTTTTCATGATTGGTTTATTTTTCTGAGTGACTCTTAAAGATTTTACTTGTTTTAAAGAACAACAGTAGTCAAGTAGACATAAATATATATAGTTTTATCCTTTGTTTAAAGTAGATATATATAATGTGTGTGTTTATAAACGTTTCACAATTAGCCAGCTAGCCAATATATCTCAGCGATTCTAACCACAGCGTCACATTTTGGTAAGGGTTTTAAAACTATCTGGGGACTAGATGATGGGATACCTTTTTATGCATGACACTGGCACCTGTACAATTAAAGAACCGAGATATTGCAACATTCAGCAGGCTTTCACCCACAACATGATTACCATCAATTTGAATACAAAGATAAAACTTCCACATATATATATTCAAAACAATTACAGCAGGCAGCTCATATATTAAAATTATATATTGGAAATGTTAAAGAAGTCTGTTTTATTGACAATTATAAGTTTGAAATCAAAAGACAAAGACCAATAATGTTGGTATTATCAATGTGTGTCCTGTGAGATTTCAGCTGCTATTGATTTTGCTGTGATATGGTGATGGAGTTACCTCCCTTCTACCTTGTTTCACAGTTTGTTCTTTAAGAAAAGTTTCCTCTGATTTTCATTACTTTAAAGCAATATGGTCGTGTCATTCTTGTTATTATGAATTACTCAATATGAAATGGAACCAATACCAAAAATGTATGTTGCTTTATACACATTTAAATAAATAACTTTTTGTCGTTTAAAGGTTACATTCTATTGAACATGATCATTGATTGTAAAATTTCCTAGAAGCTATGCTTGTAAATCAGAAGAAGTAAAAGATTTTATTTCATGATTGAATTAGATATAAAATGGTCCTTGCGATAATTGTCTTTGCAATGTACATAAGTGATTTGATGAAAAAGTTAGAATGGCCTGAGTTGTGATGATCTCTCCAATCTCCAGAAGTTAATTGTTGGATGAAGTTTAAAGGGCTGAGCTGGTGTCTCTCCATTGTACCAAAGCACATGGTAACAAATGTATCAATTGTCCCTTTAAGTCAACAAACATCAAGTTGACAAATGTCAACAAGATAGTTATCAATAACATGACAGTGCCTCAGATTTGATGTATAGTTGTGAAGATGTCGGTGCAGGTATCACTTTGTTACCTGTGACATATCACGACAAAGCTCCAGGGCTCACTTCTGGCTACAGTGTAGAACACAGTTAATGGCAGGGCACATTTGAAAAATAATTAAGTTTTTTAAATTTATTCTTAAAATCAGTTTTATATCTAGGAATCAAAGTGATGTAATTCACAGAAATTAACAACATGTACCATGTCCAAAATGTCCAAAATGATTTAATGAACTTTAAGCAATATTACAAGTTTAAAGTTTGCTGGTCTGTTTTATCACCTTAAATTTGTCAGGATTATGAGAACATCATCTTGTAATATTTGGTAAAGTTAACTATGTAGGTAATTGCAGGTGAGAAATTCTAACAGGTATGTAGGTGATTTATCAAGTTTTATTTGGTATAGCAAGTAGCTAATTAAGATTACCTGGAATTACAGGTAATTTAAACAGTTTTATTAGGCACTACATGTAACGTATACAATTTTACCTTAAAGTACAGGAGGCTGATGAAGTTTTACCTAGAATGTTACAGGTGCTACAGGTCAATTATTTTTATTTTTTGTGGGGTAATATGTACAAATGTACCAACCAAAAATGCTGTCATACTGCATGTTGGGAAATTTCGCCAAGTCAAATTTTCACGCTTCAACAGTAAATTCCATATTGACCCAATGTTAGTTTCGCCCTTCACATTTAATTTCAATTCATATTATGTTGTTGTCGAATATTCGCTGTAATGATGAATTTGCCCTCATTACGGATGTCGAAAAAGGCGAAAATTAAACTGCAGCCAAACTTTCCTGGTATAACAGCCAGAACCATTACATGAAATGTTAACCAATGGGAAACTGTTAAAAAGTCTTTATTCAGGGACAAATCCTGGTGTGACATCTAATTCAAATCATGAGAGAAATTCCAGAATGGTTTCTGTTTGGCTTGAATGTCTTTTAGGAAAACAGTGTTTTAAATGATTATCATGAACCTTAAGAAATCAAATCACATGCACATTAAATAGGTACATTTCAGTCCTTAATTACCATTATACAGGTATCTTACATAAAGGTAGTACAGGTAGTCAATCTAGGCAATTCATCTCTGATCAGGTAGGTAATCACATTTACTGACAGCCGGTGATAAATGTCTTATCAGATGACGTACCTGAGGACAGGTAAAAAAACAACAGGTGTGATAGCCACAGGTTAGAATGAGAGCACTATTGGTGTCTTATGAATTACAGTAAATAGCTGATCGTACCTGGATTTTACTGACCCTGTGTTATTTTGTATGTTAGATATTCAGATATCGTGTAATTGTTTAATTTTGTTGGGCTAATATGTCGTGGTTGTCACAATCAGAAATAAATTGCAGCGATTGAATTTCGTAAGACATGGCAAGAAATTAAAAAAAGTATCCCACTCACAGTGGTGCTTTTGTATTTAGGTGATGGGATTGTGAAAATAAAGTAAAATGTGACATAGAATTGTTGCTTTATCTTCATTATTTATCTGTAAACATTAATACAGATGTTTTTGTTGTCCGTTTATATAAATATACATTCCCAAAGATGATCATTATGGTGTGCATTGATAACAATGAATATATAGTGAAATTTAATCCCCCACAAATATCACTAACTATACAATATATGTTCATTCAGTTACGTAATGAAGGAAACAAAAAAAATAGTATTAATACCTCAAGTACATATTTAATAGGATAAAATACGATAATGTTTATGGATTGAAAATTACCTAAACTTTTTTTTTTTTTTTTTA